GTAAATCTAGAGCTGTTGTTGAAAATGCCATGCATCTTAATGATGAAGATGGTGAAAGTTTCAGTTTGGAAACTTTGGAAGAAAATTCTGATAAGTCAGAAAAACAGCCTAGTGAAGTTGGAGTAAAGTTAGAGGATGCCGATCCAGAAGTCTCTGGTGATATTTTACCAAATGAAGGTAATGATAACGTAATGTTGGACTCGCAGATAAATATTAGAAAAAGTGAAAGGTTAAAAGAGAAACCAAAAGTGTCAAGATTTAATAAATAATTGTGTAATGAATGCACAGACTTTATTGTATTCAACTCCCAATAAATTTGAGGAGATAAAATATAATAAAGATAGAGAACACTGGGAAGAAGCTGTTAAAGAAGAACTAAGCTCACATTTAATAAACAAAACATGGTCAATTGTTCAAAAGCCTGAAAACAAAAATATTGTGGATTGTAAATGGGTTTTTACAATTAAGCAGAATGAATTCGGTGAGCCAATAAAATATAAAGTAAGACTAGTAGCCGTTTACGCAAGAATATTTAATCGATTATAATGAGACTTTTGCTCCTGTAGCAAGAATCACAAGTTTTAGATTAATTATGTCTTTTTCTAATCAATATGACCTTGAAGTACATCACATGGATGTAAAAACAGCATTTTTGAATGGTATTTTAAAAGAAGAGATATACATGAAAATACCTGAAGGTCTAATAGCTAAAGAAAATCAAGTCTGTAAACTACATAAAGCAATTTATGGTCTCAAACAAGCTGCAAGGTGTTGGTTTGATATGTTTGAGAATGCATTAAAGGAAATAGGTTTTGTAAATTCATCTGTAGATCGTTGTATTTACCTTCTTGATAAAGGTGATATAACTACCAATATATATGTTCTTTTATATGTAGATGATTTAGTAATATCCACTAAAAGTTTAAAAACTATGAATGATTTTAAAACATATTTGATGAATCAATTTAGAATGACTGATTTAAAGGAAATAAAATTTTTCTTAGGAATCAAAGTCGATAGACATGATAGTCAAATAAGTTTAAGTCAAGTTGCATATATACAAAATATAATTTTAAAATTTAATATGGATAAATGCAATCCAGTAAACTGTCCTCTTCCAAGTAAATTAAATCATATAGCGTTAAACTCAGATGACAAGCGTGATGCTCCTTGTTCAAAATTTAATAGAATGTTTAATGTATGTAATGTTATGTACAAGACCAGACCTAAGCACTTCTGTAAATCTTTTAAGTCGCTATTGTGAAAAGAATAATAGTGAACTTTGGCAATGCTTAAAAAGAGTTTTAAGGTACCATAAAGGAACAATTGATTTGAAATTAACTTTTCAGAAAGCAGTACAAATAAATAATTATTTTATAGGCTATGTAGATTCAGACTGGGGTGGGAGTGAATTAGATAGAAGAAGCACAACTGGATACCTATTCAAAATGTTTGAATCTAACGTAATTTGTTGGAACACAAGAAAACAGAGTTCTGTAGCTGCTTCATCAACAGAAGCAGAATATATGGCTTTGTTTGAAGCTGTTCGAGAGGCTATTTGGCTAAAATCCTTGCTAGCAAGTTTAAAAATAGAATTAACAAATCCAATTAAGTTATATGAAGACAACCAAGGTTGCATAAGTATTGCCAATAACCCCTCATGTCATAAACGCTCCAAACATATAGATATAAAATATCATTTTACAAGGGAACAAGTTGAGAAGAATTTGATAAATCTTGTTTATATTCCAACAGATAAACAAATCGCAGACTTATTGACGAAGACATTGCCAGCACCACGATTCATTGAACTGAGAAATCAAATGGGTCTAATGAACTGAAGATGAAACACTTAATTGATCTCATGGAGAGACTACACAAATATTTTTTTTATTGCTTAATTTTTGAACTGATATAATTTTTTAACGTAATTTTAATTTGAAATGGTTTGATTAGGTTTTTATGGGTTTTCCCTAATCTTCGCAGCAAATGCTGGACTATATGTTAACTCACATAATAGCCTGCCTTGTTTTAACGTAAATATGTAACCAGTGATAAAGAATATAATATTTTTGAGGAGGTGTGTTAAAATATCAAATTGAATATAGTATATTCAATGTTATCGATATTAGTAACAAAAACATTATATTCTTAATGAATAATAATTTTTCTTTTTCTTAATATCGATATACGGTCACACTTGTATAATATCGTTCTCTTCTTCTTCTGACTTCTGAGCTGTGTGGACGTATTGAGAAAGAATTATATTTTTATATTATTGACGACAAGCGCAGTGCTAACAAAATACAAAATACGAATAAATACAAACATAAAAGGAAACCTTACATTCTGTTTAATATATGTATATACTACTGGAAGGCTGAAACCAAAGGATGCACAAGATATACACGGATTAAATATTCGACTCACGTTTTGTTTACTGCAAATTATTTCAACAATTTTAATATCATTAACAAGCCGAAAGTAATATTAAAAGTAGCCCACTATTAATATTAAAAGTAAATTAAAAATAATATTTTTTGTCTCGTATTTTGTTCGCATATTTATTATTTAAGTAGGGACGGCGCAAACGCTATTCCCGGCTATTAAAATGTACACAGACGAGTTATTCACATTAGGAATAATCGCAAAAGTCAACTCAGCCGACGTGCAATGACCAAGTCTCATTCCGGAGGAACACGCTAGTGATCACGGTTAACCTCTACGCCTCTGATCGGCATCGGGGTTTCCATGTCCTCACAGCTAGAAGCAGTTGGGAATTATAAACCTATCCTACTGCTACCCAAGAACACTGAATAATTTTAAGACTTGTCCAGTTTTCACTCATTTTTAATTCCGTTTGCGATAATTTTGCGCGACTTTAGTCGACGCTTGGTTTAAGTACAATAAATGCTCTTTTTCTAAGTCCGTCTGCGAACATTTGGCGATACTTTACCGGTAGCTAGCTATTTTCTCCGTTATGTTTTACTTTCTTGTCAATTTTTCACTAAATTGTAAGCCCGTTTGCGTAATTTTTGCGAATACTTAAACGTCCCATGCTTTTTGTCCGCTAAATGCTCTTTTTTGAGTCCGCTTGCGGACATTGAGCGAGGCTTCAGTAACAACTCACGGATTTTTATCATTTCTAAGTCCGTTTACGAACATTTTGCGATAGTTCCGCTTTACTATCGTCTTGTGGTCCACTGGGTGCTCTTGCGAATTGGAATGCACATATGTTTTAGTGAATTGGGGTACAGTTGGATTTTATTGAATATATTTAATTTTTCACAACTCATGCCCAGACAAAACGGAATGGAAGAACTACCGTAGCACTGGTATTTGGAGGCGACGGAACGGAGAACGGCCGGAATCGCCGATAATATGGCGTTGGCGAAAGAGAAGGAAGCACAGAGAAGGATATCACTTTATGCACAGATATGTATATAAGAATATATTTACATATATCGCGGAACTCGAACTTGGTGGGGAATAAATCAAAAACGCACTAGGAAACGATTTGGGAAGACGAAATCGTACTTATCTTCGGAACGTAGCGATGTAATCCACCGATGCTTGCAGGTTGGACTCCTCCTTATAGGGAAGGCGAAGATCCGGCTCGAAGGACCAATGTTTTGTAGGAGGGTGGATGTTGGTGGTTCCCACAGCCTGGATTCCGAATAAATAATAGTCGGGGGCGTCAAATATAATTGGCGTGTATTTGCTGGTACAAAGCTGAGGGTTGATGACGGTTGTGTAAAGGCGCGTAGGTGTCGAGAGACTGTTCTCTCCAGCTCGGCCTACGGCTAGCGCCCGTGATGGAGCGCAGAGTGGATCGCGTCCATCTGTAGATAACAGATATAGCAAAAAAATGTAAATTTTTTTTTTTTTATTCTAAAAAATCATAAGCTCAAAAATGTATATACTGACTGAGTACGGGTATAAGTAGAGTCGCGTCCCCAGAAGCGACTCACACGTTCCTTCTCGTTTTTTATGCATATCCATATAATACATTTTAAATTAAATTACATTTTTAAAATTGTATGTAAATTCAATAACATTTTTTTTTTGCAGTTTATTCATTATTATTGCTAACAATTTTGTATTTGAACAATAATTTGCGGGCTCTCCTCCCAAGAGGAATCGATGGCAAGCGCCAAGCAGGCGTGTCGCCAGGGAGGAATCTACAGCACGTAATGAACGGAGAAGCAGAACGAGGTTCATGCGGAGATCTCTCAACTGAAGGCAAAGTACGTCCACATCCAGCAGTCGATAGCGGAGCATCTGCGCCAAGATGGCACTGCAACAGAGTCTCCAAGCCACTCCTGTGTCCACATATGAATGAGTTTTGGGTACCTATGTACCCTATGTACCTATGGACAGGATCCTCTTGAGCTTTATGCCCCATTTGGACTCCTCGTAACTCGCTCCCCTGTTTGGCCAGGCAGGTGAAGCCAATCAGCAGCAGCAGTATCGATATGGCCTTGTCCCAGCAGGCGGCCATTCAAAATTCCCATTGTCACAGATTCGTATTGGTGTTTCCCTTCAGTTTTTCGATATCGATTCAGTCTCACGGCTTTTAGAAAAATTTTTTGATCAAAATTGCTTAATGAAAACATAAATTTTTTGGTTCCTGATCTCTCTCACATCACTTCTGCAGCGCAATGAGCAACGGGAGTCACGCACTGCCACCAAACGGCTATGGCGATCACGAGGGGTCGTCCCCCTGGCTCGGCTTCATGGACACGGATGCGATAGAGGACAACTTCACTGAGCACTATGGCGCTGAGGATGTGCGCGATGAGCTGCGCCAGATAATGGCGCGCTACAATGACGCTCTCCCAGGTGCCCAGGATGTCAATGCAGAGGTAAGCAGATGGCAGTCCCTGCCTCAGGATGACAACAATTCGGCAGCCTCACTGTCGGATACCGGCTCCGTGCTGACGCTTAACCTGTCGCCGGCCAGCACCAACATTGCCGAGCAGTATGAACGACAGGATCGTGATCGCGGGGAGGCCAGACGCCACCTGCACTCGGCACACAGCATATCGAGGGTGAACCTAAATGGGTTGCCGTCTGTATCCCATAATCTGCGGACCATTGACTCGTTACCCTATCTGCTGGCACGGCCACCCATAGCTGGCCATTTGCATGAAATAGTCAACGCGACGGACGCCAGATCCACCCACGCACGGCCCACCGTCGATAGATCGCCTCGCCACATGGGGCTGATGGGCAGACTGAACAAGGTGCGGCTGCTGGGCGAGCTGGTGGAAGTGGTGGAGTCCGTGCAGGGTGAGGAGGAGTTCTGTGAACAGCTCCACCGCCGACTGATGGAGTTCCGGCGAACGGGCTTTCGCGACATGGAGCCGCTGATCTTTGGCAGCGATGAGCAGGCCGAACTGGTGGGACAACCACTGGAGCGATACCACTTCGCGGAGGCCATTGCCTACCTGGACCAGAATATGCGCCTGGACAGGGATCTCTATCAGCTGGCTGAGGACTCCCTCAAGCGGTTCAAGAACCAACGGGCCGTGATGTGCACGCGGGCCAGTGAGGCACAGAACAAGTTCTATGATCTGCTCGATAAGCTCGTTGAGGGCGAGAATTGCAGCGATATGAACATTGTAAGTATGTTGTCCAGTCGCTTCCACCCGTATATACTACATATATGCTATCCCATCCTCCGCAGAGGGTACGCAGCGAGCTGCACGAGTTGTCTGGGGCCCGAAAATGTCTGCGCAGGGTGGTTAATCAGATGATAATCCATCCCCTCTCGGAGCGAACCTACAGCGAGGTGAGTCCAGTCCACATGTCCACACCCTCCAGCTCTAGCTGATCCGCAACGTACCCTTTCCAGACGATGCGTATGATCAAGTGCCTGGTGGCCAAGCTCTGCGTCCTAATGCCATTCCACATACCGTGCACCATCCGCTGGGGACTGATCCGCAACGAGGAAGTTACCCACCTAAATGACTCGCTAACCGACGAGCTGTCGTGCCTGCAGCTGGAACTCTATCGCCAGCGGGAGCAAGTCTTTCTCGATCGCAGCATCGAGCAGGAACGAATCAGCGGCCATCTGCTGGAGCTGCACGTTGGCAACGCCAAAGTCCCGGAGGAAGAACATCCACGTCCACAGGTCACAGGGGTATCGGAATGGTATCATCTCGTGCTCAGCATGTCTCTGACTCGGGCTATGGCACGGACAGAGACTCGGACAGCAGCTCCACCACGGACCAGAGGCGCAGCGTCGACCAGCGATCGGTCCAGCAGAGCGTGGGCGAGACGGCGACTCGCCGTCAGAACTTCTTGGACTGCATGAGGCGCTACAAGGAGCTCGGCTTGCATCTCTACCCATTCGACGTCAACCGTCGTAGGACCGAACTGGGACTGCCCAACATAATTTCGGAATCGGATGATGCGTCGTCCGGCACACAGCCGCCCATAGAATATGAAGGCATTGGCGATGTGGTAGATTGGCCCACACCAAATAATCAAACTAGTTCTTTCCCCCCCAAGCTCTCGTCGATCCGCCCTCCCGACGACACTGAGCGGACCGTCAGTTTTAGTGACGAGGTAATCTACGGTGATCCATACTGATCCCAGCCAGCGTTCGGGTGTTCAAATTCCCAGTATAGATACCAAAAAAAAAATATATTTTTAGAGATAAAAGACTCTTCCAACTTCCATCTCTGGGGCTTAGGCTCGGTTGCCTGCGTGTCTGTTGTCTTAGCGCACAAACCAACTAAAATATGTAAGTAAATTTTCAATTCTTCTTAAATGAAAAAAAATTATCGATTTTATTGAGTTTAAAACGATGATTATAACGATGATTATAAGCTAATTTTTTATATATTCTTCCTCACGTCTGTGGACTCCTAGGTCTTATCGTAATTTTCACAAAAGTCAGTGATATTCGGTAATCAAACGGAACCCAATGCCCCCAATGCAGCAGCAGCACATGGCCTCCGAGTAGCGCGACGCTGTGGTGGCCGCCGCCCAGCAGCAGCACCAACAGCACCAGCAGCAGCGGGAGCAGCGCAAACGGGAGCGCGAACAGCAGCAGCGACTCCGCCACGAAGATCTCGCCCAGGACAAGATGGCGCGACTCTACCAGGAGCTGATAGCCCGCACACCACGCGAGGGAGCCTTCCTCATGTGAGTAACAACCAGATGAACCCAGTGTCTCTGCGGGGAACAAGGGAACAATCTCTGAAGCACATGTTGCCCACCGTATACGAGATGGCCGCCCTCACCCAGGACCTGGACACGCACGACATCACCACCAAGATCAAGGAGGCGCTGCTGGCGAACAACATCGGGCAGAAGATCTTCGGCGAGGCGGTGCTGGGCCTGTCGGAGGGCTCCGTGTCGGAGCTGCTCAGCAAACCGAAGCCCTGGCACATGCTCTCGATCAAGGGCCGGAACCGTTCATCCGGATGCAGCTGTGGCTGAGCGACGCCAATAATGTGGAGCGGCTGCAGCTGCTCAAGAACGAGTGGCGGGAGCCGAGCAAGCGGCGCCGCAGCACCGGCCCCAATTAGCAGGACAACAGCAGCGACACCTCCAGCAACGACGCTCCGTGGGCGGTGCACCGCCCAGCAAGAAGCAGCGCGTCCTCTTCTCCGAGTAGCAGAAGGAGGCGCTGCGGCTGGCGTTCGCCAGCGACAACGAGTCGCTGGAGGGCAGCTGCAGCAGCTGCAGCAGCAGCTGGATGGTGGCCTCGACTGCGAGGCGGAGAAGAAGCTGAAGGTGATCAACGAGGAGAAGCTGCGTCTGGTGCGCGTCAGCCGCCTAAGCAGCAACGGCGCCCCCGGCCAGGTTGACGCCGAGGAATCGTCAGCGGCCTGTGTCGCCGCCACAGGAGGAGCTGCTGGCAGCGGGGCTGTGGCAGCTGCCCAGGCGGTAGCCAGTGTCGCGCCAGCAGCCGCGTGGAACTACTAGGACAGTGCAATGATCAACGATATAGAGGCAGAGGCAGATGCAGTTGGCGATGGAGACGACCGTTTACTTTTGATTAAGTTTGGATGTTTAGACCTAGACGTAGACCTAGACCTAGACCCAGGACTCGCCTCGAGCGAGCTAGATATATCGATATATACATAGCACCTAGAACGTAGCAAACTCTATATATATATTTTTTTTTTTGTTTTTTTTTCTAAATCATATTACGTACAATATAATACAATACAATACCTATGGGACTTAGGATAGGATAGCCTTAGGTCTGGTTGCCCCGGAGTTGTAATAATTGTAGCTAAAAGTTTAGAGACGCTATGCGAGGAGCGCAAAAGTATTAAAACCGGATATGCCGTTCTGTACATAGACTCCTCGCGAGGCATGATCTTTCTTTCGTTATTTCGTTCTTCCTTCGTACTCCACCAGATCCTCCTGATACCCCTGAGTCCTGGACTTGTTAAACTATCTTTTGATCTCAAGCAAAAACACATACACACCACACACACACACACACACACAAAACGAATGGAGAAACGAGAAGCGATAAAGCAGAAGCAAAAGCAAATAAGAAACGAAAACCCAAAGTAAAAGATAGTTGAAAGCAAGGAAAATGCTGCGCGGAAAATGTTTGCCCCTTTCCACATTTTTTTTTTCTTTTTAATATATAGATATATAAATATATTTGTTGAATCAAAGTTCATTGAGAACGAGAAGGAACGTGTGAGTCGCTTCTGGGGACGCGACTCTACTTATACCCGTACTCAGTCAGTATATACATTTTTGAGCTTATGATTTTTAAGAATTTTAGAAAAAAAAAATTTTTTACATTTTACATTTTTTTGCTACATATGATATCTACATCTACATATACAATGTATATTCTACATCTAACATGTAGACTGTACATGTTCCAATTATATTCTACATCTCCTCCGCTAGGGGTTGCTCGCGCACTGAACGCGGCAGAGTGTGCGAGCGAGAAGGAAAATGAGTTGTGATATCGTTTGCAGGAGGGCGGGCAGGGGAAGCAACAGAAAATTAATTTCTTCATTCTGGCTATAATTATGATCCGATCTGATTCAGATTTGGCAATCTGGTAGATATGGGCATTCTCTACGATACTACGTTTTTAGTTTTATCGTATCTTTAAAATTGTGCCTGCCACAGATTTTCGTCCTTTGTGGGGGCGGAAGGAGGCGGGGCGAAATTTTGAAATACACTTGTAGCAGTGTGATATCACATGAGTCTGGAAACGAAATTTGGTTACCCTAACTCTTATAGTCTCTGAGATCCAGGCGCTCAACAAGACGGACGGACGGACGGACGGACGGACGGACAGACAGACATGGCCATATCGACTCGGCTATTGATGCTGATCAAGAATATATATATACTTTATGGGGTCGGAAACGTTTCCTTCTCTGCGTTACACACATCCACTTTTACCACAAATCTAATATACCCCTTAACTCTTTTTTGAGTACGGGTATAAAAAGGCCAGAGAAACGTGAGGAAAGATATAGTAAAGAAGAGAAGCGACGCGATGCGATGCGAGAGCAAAACGAAACGTAAAATATATAACAATAAATTTTGTAAATTTTGAATTTACATAAAAATCACACAAACACACACACTCACACCACCACACACACACAATGATAAAAAAAATTGAATAATTCATAATTATAGCAAAAGTAAAACCGCAAAATGCACTAAATTATTATTTATAATCTACTTACTCTATAAATAATTAATGCATAAAAACATACATATACACATATATATAGACATATATGAATATATGAAAAATCATATGCGTAGAGGGAGAATCGAGGAGTTTATCAACGTAGCCTAACGATAATTTAAATTCGCATTAAACTCTAGCATAAATACCAACAATTTCTTCTGTGACACTCAAATATTTCGAGATGGAAGCGTAAACAAAATACACACACACACACACACAGAAAAAAAAACTTTACAACTAAAACCGCATATCGTACTAAAGAAATTATATAAAAAAGAAAAAAAGCAAATTTAAAAAAAACACACAAAAAAACAACAACAAACAAACATAAAAACCCTAATCTAAGAGAGCCAGCACCTAAGTTTACAAAGTAATCGTAAAATTAAACAAATTTCAAAAATAAAAACCAAAAGCAAGAAAAAACCACAAAAAAACTATGAATCTGTTTTCCTAAAAACGAACAAGAACAACAAGAAAAAAAAAACCAATACAATTTTTAAGGAATATTGAATGCAACCTTTTTTGTCCTAGGCTAAATATTTAAGCGTAAAAATCAATTTCTCAAAACCAAAAATAACATATACAAAATAAAAGCAACAGCAAAACTAACTAAATTAAAGCTACACGAAAAGAAACATTTTTGCATAGGCCCGAAATTTGCCGCGTTATTATTATTATTATTATTATTATTTGTTAATGTGTGTGTGTGTGTGATTTGGTATGCATACGGTACATAAACCGTCTACAAATTTGTCGTCGCAACTAGAACTTAAACCAGTTGGACTGCGGAGAGGGTTTCCTACGTTTCTATGAAGACACGGCGACAGCCTCTGTTGATTGCAGTTGTAGAGAATGAGTGAACAGGCAGTGATGGTACTGTTTCTGATACTGATTTTATTCAACAAACTTAATTTCTATTTATAGGTAACAAAAGGTACAGAAAGTGCTGAGTCTAGTAAGAATATGGTAAAAGGGAATTGGAATTAATATTGAATTAATTTGGATTTAATATGATATTGTGTTATTGGGCAATTGTGATAGTCAGCAATTGCACCAGTGTGTTTGCCCTCTGACGAGCGATCGCATCGTTGACAGAAATTGCTGCAGAAGCGGTTATTGTTGACTCAGCGACAATGCTTTGTCGTTTGTTATTATGTCTTCCGTTACATGGGTCGACCTGACTTATTTGATAAGTGTATATTATGTAATATTAATTAATGCATAAATATGCGACTGAACATTCTCCAGGCCGTTGAACTGGTGTTCAACCATCGCTCAAGTCGACTGAAAAGTGGCGCGGAATGGGGATCAGGGGTGATGATCCGCGTGGCTCTGCTTGGTTGATTGTTGACGGCCTTGGGTTCCATGATTGATACTTCTTCCGGAGAATGAACGCAATAATCAATAGCATTGATATTGCTAGGGCAGCATAAGTAGCGATTTGATGATACTGCACTGTGTTGAGATGGTGTGGCAGCCTTTGTTGATTGATTGCCACTAATTGCAGGCGTAAATCTTCCAATTCTTGAAGATAGTCTGATATCTGGTTCTCCAATTGTACAGTCGCTGGCGAAGGGGGTGTCGTTGGTAAGCGTATGTCCCCAAATCGAGTGTAGGTTGATTTGACTTCACTGATTGTTGTGCTGAAGGTACTGATGCTTATTTCTGTATTGCGAGCAGTGCATCCTGGTGACAGTGAGAGCAAGCCAGTTCCTTCCAGTTGTATGGTTGACGGAGACCCGTTGCAAACTGCCTGAAGTCTCATTGTAGAGTGTGTTGCAAAAATCCATTTATTTGCATGCTGAGTTTTGTACCACACCATGTCCGCCTTCGTGTGGGTCACTTCACATAAAGGTGCTGTTTTATTGTTAAACAACTGAAACTCACAGCGATCGTCGACATTGAAGACTGTTATATGATCAAAGCAGATGTATTCTGCGTGGAGTAGTTTAAAGCAGCGTCGAAATTCTTCTGGAGTAAATCCCATGAATTGATCTCGGTGAGAGTTTACAGTGATTATGGTCGTTTTGAAATTGAACAAGCTCCAACTTGTTGAGTCCCAGACCGGAATCGGCATGATACTGAAAACTTCGAGCTGAACTGTTGAATGCCGATTAATACATCAGATATGTCAGACTGCATACGTTGAAGACTCGTTGTCAGCAGAGTTAGTTGTGCTGTGAGCCCTAGGTATGACTGAATTAGATGATCGCCGTGATATGTTCCTCTTTCTCGGCTGATGGTTGCCACTTGTTGTTCCAATACCTTTAGGCGGTTGTCCATGGCTGACTTATCCTTCCTGATCACGTTCATTGTGGAGTCGACAATTGACGTTTGATTTCGTAGTAGATGTAGCAGAAAGTCTTCGTTGGTTTGTACCTTTTCGATTACTTTGGCCATTTTCTCAGCATATGTAGAGTCAAGTACACCGAAAAGTTGGTGTGCCACGTTTCCTACTATATCCAGCGGTGATCTGCGTTGTCGAGAGGCCTTCATTAGCATATTTCCTGTTTGTAGTTCTTTGTACAAATGTTGAAAGTGTTGAAATATGGAGTTGCACGCTGGAACATTTTTTAGATCAGGGCACATGTGTCTTAGTTCGGACATTCCGGCTGACATGACTTGCATATCCTTCCAATATGGATCCAAGTCGTAGTATACAATCATGGTCCATTCGGAAGTGGTTATTCTTGAGGTTCCAAGTTTCTCATAGAATATTCCAGGCTTGTTTGCAAATTGCGTCACATTTATTGATTGTGAAAATGCTAATGGAAGCATGAGAAGTAACACTAACAATGTGGATGTTAGTGTAGGTAATGATAACCTTTTTCGCTGTGTTGGTGGCTCCTCTGTTTCCGCAATGTCTTGAATAGCATTTTTGGAGCGTTTTGTTGCGACCTCCTCTGAGAATAATGGGGCGAGACGACTGATGGGGCGTTTGTATACGCCGGACGATGTTTTGACATCAACCACTCGTACATGGTTGTCTTGCCCAGGATAAGTTTTGATGATGCGACCCATTGGCCACTTCATTACTGGAAGGTTGTCTTCCTTCACCAAAACTAATAATCCTTCGGTCACGTTTGGAGCGGTGGTTTTCCATTTATGCCGAGCTTGTAGCTCGTGGAGGTATTCCGTAGACCATTGTTTCCAAAATGCATGTTTTAAGCGTGAAACCAATTCCCAGCGCTTAACCAGAGTTTTCTCTTGACGATCGGTGTTGACGTCAGGTGCTGCGGTCAAAGGTTCACCGATCAGGAAATGCCCTGGAGTAAGCGCACTTGTATCCGTTGGATCATTTGACATTGGAGTTATGGGTCGGGAGTTGAGAATTGCTTCAATTTCGATTATGACTGTGTTCAGCTCCTCAAACGTCAAGGATGCTGTTTCTGTGGTTGTAACTAGCAGCCTTTTCGCTGATTTTACCGCAGCTTCCCAGAGGCCGCCAAACGATGGGGCCCGAGGAGGAATGAATTTAAAATCCACTTGTTTTTTGTTGCAATGATTTGTGATCAGAGCATGTGCCTTTTCGCTAAATATTGTTTCTTTCAATTCCTTTAGCTTGTTATTTGCGCCGACGAAATTTGTTGCGTTGTCGCAATGAATAGTCTGACACTTCCCGCGTCTGCTAAGGAATCGCCGGAGTGCTGCCAAGAATGCATCTGTGGTTAAGTCACTTACTAACTCCAGATGTACAGCCTTTGTGGAGAAGCAGCAGAATACGGCAATGTAAGCCTTATCAGGCCGTTTTCCTCGGATTTTATGGTGGAACATAATTGGTCCACAGTAGACAACGCCTGCATTAAGGAATGGGCGTGCTTGCGT